CTGAGGTTTGCTGTGGAAGAAGGTCACTTCAGTTCAGGGCCCTCCCCTTTGGACTGAGCACAGCTCCGAGGACATTTACAAAGGTCCTGATTGTTCTCATTGCAGAACTCAGAAAGCAGAACATTGCGATTTACCATTATTTGGACGACATCTTGATCTTAGGAAACAACGTAGATTCTCTGACATCCCATGCTATTACCAGCATTCAGTTTCTGCAAGCTCACGGCTGGAAGATCAACACCAAGAAGAGCCACCTCCACCCAACGCAATCTATGGTTTACTTAGGTGCTCACTTCGACACTCTAAAGGGCACTGTCCAACTTTCATCAGCAAGAATACGGAAACTCAAGATGTTATTGAGAAGAATGCTGATATCCAGGGTGGCACCTGCAAAGGCCATAATGAGCCTCCTTGGTTCCATGTCCTCCACATTAGGACTGACCAGGTGGGCACAGTGGAGAATGAGACCATTCCAAGCCAATTTCCTGAGACAATTCCCCTCCGGGAACCTGCACCAACCCATCAAACTTTCCCTGAATGTACGCCATTCTCTAATCTGGTGGTTAAACAGGGAGCACCTATCAAAGGGTTTTCCACTAGGAGATATCGCGTGGATAACTGTGACAACGGATGCCAGCCAGTGGGGATGGGGCGCTCATTGTCTCCACGACTTTGCGCAGGAAGAATGGAGTTTCAGGACAAACACTGTTCATTCCAATTGCCTAGAGCTTCTGGCTGTCCTCAAAGCATTGAAACACTTCTCGATTCATCTCAAGGGGCAATGGGTGAAGATAAGGACGGACAACTCCACCGTAGTATCCTATGTCAATCACCAAGGGGGTACCAGGAGCTGCAAGATGATGGAAATCATGAATCATCTGATGTGGTGGGTTCAGAGAAACCTGGCGGGCCTTACTGCCATCCATCTACCAGGGAAACGGAATCAACTGGCGGATTTTCTCAGCAGATCCAGGATAGATCCGGGGGAATGGTGCCTCTCAGACAGTGTATTCCGCATGATTGTGGACAAATGGGGTCTCCCTCAAGTAGACCTTCTAGCCACTCGGGCCAACAGAAAAGTAAAGCTTTTCTTCACGAAAGAAGACGACCACCTAGCACTGGGGAGGGATGCTTTATCAAGCCCCTGGAGGTTCAGGATGGGCTATGCGTTTCCTCCGTTTCCACTAATTCTCCCGCTCCTGAGGAAGATGAGAACAGAGCAGGTGTCTCTCATCCTGATTGCGCCTTATTGGCCTCGAAGACCCTGGTTTCCTCTGCTTCAAAGTCTTTTGGTGGAACCTCCTCTCCCACTCCCCAGAACTCCGGATCTTCTGTTCCAAGGTCCTGTGTTACATCCAAATCCTGTCTCTCTCAATCTCATGGCTTGGAGACTGAAAGGAACCGGCTTTTGAGCAAAGGATTCTCCCAGGCCGTTATAGGCACTATGCTGAAGGCGCGTAAGCATTCCACTTCGGCCACTTATTATAGAGTGTGGGAAGTTTTCTCTGACTGGGCCCTTCACAGGAACATTGATATTCAGGATCCTTCCTCCTCTAATATTTTGGAGTTCCTGCAGTCTGGGCTTGCTAAAGGGCTTAGCTATAACACTCTCAAGGTGCACGTCTCAGCTTTGTCCGCTCTAACCAATCATCGATGGGCACTGGACTCGGATGTCATCAGATTCATCAAAGGAGTCCTTCAGATAAAACCTCCTATTAAACTATTTGTTCCATCTTGGAATCTCCCTTTGGTCTTGAATGCTTTAAAGTTGGAACCTTTTGAACCGTTTGAGACAGTTCCACTTCATGCTCTCTCTATTAAGACTGCTTTGCTGATTGCCCTAGCTTCCGGCAGGAGGGTTTCTGAGCTCCACGCTCTATCCATTAAGGAGCCTTTTACGGTCTTTCACAAAGACAGAGTCGTCCTCCGTACGGTTCCCGAATTTCGACCTAAAGTCACCTCCTCCTTTCACATCAACGAGGATATTGTTCTTCTATCTCTGAGGTCTGACTCCCAAGAAATGGAGAATTCTACTAACCTATCTTCTCTGGATCTAGTAAGATGCCTCCAGATATATATTGATACGACTTCTGCTTGGCGTACTTCTCACAGTCTTTTCGTCCTTCATTGCGGCTGTAAAAAGGGCTCACAAGCTCCCAAATCTACCATTAGCAGGTGGATAGTAGCAGCTATTATTCTGGCTTATCAATCTGCTGGATATCCGGTCCCTGTGGGTCTTAAAGCCCATTCCACGAGGGCTCTCTCATCTTCCTGGGCAGTCGCTGCTAATGTTTCTCCTCCACTCATTTGTAAAGCAGCTACATGGTCTTCCTCTAACACTTTCATTAAGAGCTACCAAATTGATGTTAGAGCAGGTCTATCTGATCAATTTGCTAAATCAGTTCTGTCTGTATCCGACGCCTGATTTCTATGTTTTCACTTGTTGTGGTGTTAATACACTTTGCATTCAAAATTTTGGAGTCTGTGTCTCTTTCCCTCCCTGGTTTATTGCTTGGGTATTACCCAATGTTGTGCTGCCATGGATATGGCCAGGAAAATGGAAAATTTATTCATACTTACCGTAATTTTCTTTTCCTGGCCATATGCCATGGCAGCACAAGGGTCCCACCCGGGGCTATTGCTGGAAAACATGACTGGGGAAGGAGGGGTAGGAGGTGGTACTTATACGGCTTAATAATTATTCCTGTCCAATGGGATAGGGAGGAGCTACCCAATGTTGTGCTGCCATGGCATATGGCCAGGAAAAGAAAATTACGGTAAGTATGAATAAATTTTCCATTATATATATATACACACACACACACACATACATACACACATACACACATACATATATATATATTGTGACGAGACCAATCTCGCCACATTGCATTGGAGAAGCCTGGTTGCTCGCCTGCTGCCTTTGGACTATGGCCCCCTTTTAAAAGACTTTATTTTGCCTGCAGAAAAGCTGTATTCGTGCTTTTCTGCCTGGGGTTCGGTAGATTTGTTTGAATGTGTTATACCCCAGATAGGAATCCCATGGAGCCCATTCGTATAAAACTGACTGTAAAGACTTTAGCTCCATGGCGATTAAACTGTATTCGTGTGGTCTGAGCGCCATTCACTTAATAATGTGCGCTCGGACCTGAGCTATCTGGGGATATGTTACATGTCTGTGTTTTATGTAATAAATGTGACTTTATGTATTTTAAAGTGTTTTGTGTCTCTTTGCAACCATGTGCTTAATGGAGTCTTGTGTCTGTCCTGGGAGATAATTGAATTACTTATCTCCAGGATAGAAGACTCTGAAACTGGTTTGGGCCAGAAAGCCATGCTTCATTTAGTCACAAAGGACTTTTTACTAACTTTTGAACCCCTTGTCTGATTTGTGCCATTTTTGAATATGTTGTTCCCCTGAATGGATTGATTGAGAATATGTAATTTTATGTGAATGTGATGTATGGTTTTGGAGTTATGAAAGTTGGGTAGAAAGTATGTTTTAACTGTTTGTATAATTGAGTTTCCTCTCAGGATAAGGGGAGGGAATATGTGGGATGTAACTGTGATATGATTGGTTGTTTTATCCCTCCCTGTGGGTGGTCCTGTATTTGAAACACTGTAATAAAAACCAGGCTGGGTGTGCCAGCACCTCAGACCACTGCTTGACCCTCAACACGGAGCCTTGTCTCGTTCTTGGGGGGATTCACTGTATGCTGTGAGAGACTGATTGCCAGGAGTGTAAGCTGTTGGTCTGCTTTTCCTGTTCGTCTGCTAGCAGCTATTTGGGAGGTTCCAGTTCGGGAGTTGGAGTGCTATTTTGTATCCAGTTCAGGAGTTTGGTGTTCTGCAGTAGCTGTGCCTGCATCTCTGGAAAGGGGGCCGATCGCCTAAACGGTTTTTACCCCTTGTGTGCAAAACGGTCCGTTACACACATATATATATATATATATATATATATATATATATATATATATATATACATATATACACACACACACACACATATACATACACTACAGCACCCCTCACACTGCACCACTACACACATTACGCTCCAGATACACGCTAGATCCCTTACCCTATATGCACTCTTAATCCTCTATACACACACAGGGTCCTTTACACACTAGATCTCCTACACACACAGCATTCCTTGTCAGCAAACACATACAACATTCTCTAAACACACCCTCTCTACAACCCCTACACACACTACGTCACCTATACACACACACACACACACACTACAGCCCGTATACACACACTCGCTACATACCCTATAACACTATGTCCCCTATACACACACACTCTCTACAGCCCCTAGCCACACATATTACACCACAAACATAAATGAAATTGACCTATTTACAAAATACCACACCACACTCTACACACACGCAATCCCACAAGCAGGCTCCAAACACATGCACCATACACTTTCCTGGCCCTTTTGTCTTCTGGTATCCCACTTATGGAGACACCAGAGACAATTTAAAAGCAAACACAGCGCAAGCATGTTAATAAATTTGCGTCCGCTGCGCAGAACAAATACAGGGCTTTTTTCTAATGCCAAAGTTCTTCAACGGGGCTCTGCGCATTGAACCAACATGCTCACTTTGAGAGGGGGCGTGCTTGTAATTAGTGATGACAAAACACACCCTTTCTGGCCCCGCCCCCTTCTTAGGGGGCCGCTCTGATTGTAAAATGCCCGGGCCTAATTTTTTTTCCCAGTCCGGCCCTGGCTACACACATCCTCTCATACTGTACATAAAAACTAGGAATACTGCTGGTTGATAACTACGCAAGAGAGTTGTGTTTCTTATTTAAAACTTGTATATCATTGTGTGTATATAATATCTCTCTCTCTCTCTTTATAGAGAGAGAGAGATACATTAATATAGAGATATATACATTTTACTTAAATAAATGAATACACTTGAGGGCCGATTCCTGTATAATTAGGATATTTATGCACCATGCATAATAACCAAGAGAAACCTAACGTGTGTGTGTGTGTGTGTATATATATATATATATATATATATATATATATATATATAATATATATATATATATGTATATATATATATATACACACACACACACACACACACATACACACACACACACGTATGTTAGGTTTCTCTTGGTGGTTATGCATGGTGTATAAATATCCTAATTATACAGGAATCAGCCCTCAAGTGTATTCATTTATTTAATTAAAATGTTCAGGTTTCTATTAGATTGAAAAAAAATGGATGATCACCTAAATCAACTGATGGTATAATAAATCATATAGATACCTCTGTTGCATAAACCTGTTATCTAGTTCTTAAGGTGCATGATAATAAAAAAAATAAAAAAAATGGGAAAAAAAGGGGGGATTATCCACTAAAACTAAATTTCTAATATTATACCCCATTGCATTTTTGGGGTCAGTATTCAACCTGCAGTGTACAATTGCTTGCTATAATGATCATATATCACATATAAAATACAATGGTTTCTATCAGATGGAAAATGAATTACCTAAATCGAAATTTCTGGTGCTATAGTGACCCATCTATATATCTCAACTATATAGGAGTCAGCTGTCTAATTTTTGAGATGCATGGTTATACCTAGATTTGGCCTTATTATCAAAATCAAAAATAAAGTGGATTATCTACTAAATCAAAATTTCTAATAGTTTACCTAATTCTATCTTTTAGGGTCAATATTCAGCCTGTAGTATATGTTTACCATCACGATCATATATCACTTACAAAATGCAGAATATATAAAAGCAAAAGCATAAAAAAGCAATACAATGAAACATATAAGATGATTTCAGGAACAAAATATAAAAAAATAAAAATAAAAAAAAAGAATATTATAATACAAAAAATATATTTCTAGGAAACGGCAGATCTCCATATCCTCATTGTGGCCCTTGGGGCATAATTTTAATTTGAAGATTCACTTCATCTCCTGTTGTGCTATTTTTTTTATCAAGGTCCTCCCCTCTCCAGTCCAGTTAACTTTTTCTAACCACAAGCATTTGAGTTTGGTGGGATCATTATGATATTTGAGTGTAAAGTGTAAGGATAACAGATGTTCTTTGAAGCCTTTACGGATGTTACTAACATGTTCCCCAACACCTGTGCAAATCGGTCGTGTAGTTTTTCCCACATACTGTAGGCTACAAGCGCCGGTGTGGACATAGATACAATTTTTACAGGTTATACGTTGTTTAATTTTGTGTTTATTACCCGTAATATTATCCTCTAGCTTTTTAACTCACATTGCGTCTCCCCTGTTTGAGGGAGGTGTCACGGCAAGGGTGCATAATTTATTATTACACTACGGAATATTGTCCTTTAATGTAGTTTGTGTAGTGCATTAAGGACCTGCCGGCCTGGCACAGATGGTATTGTCAATGTCAAAAGGGGTTAAAGGGACACTATTGTCACCTGAACAACTACAGCTTAATGTAGTTGTTCAGGTATGATCTATAGCTCCCTGCAGGCAATATAATGTAAACACTGTATTTTCAGAGAAAATACAGTGTTTACATTGATTGATAGGAATACCTCCAGTGGCCGTCACTCAGACGGCCACCAGAGGAACTTCCTATCATGCAGGGCCCTAAAAGTGCCTTGTACACGTCAGACGTATTAAAATCCGTCTGACGTGTGCAGGAGAGAGAAGGCACTGTGTGCGCACCTTCGCTCTTCTGCCTGTCAGCAGAGGAAAGGGGGCGGGCAAAGACCGCAAGTTGAGCTGTCAGTCAGCTCAGCTTGCGGCCGCGCATACCACGCGCATGCGCGGTAGTGTGCTCAGGACTTCAGAGGGCGGCATGAATGCCACCCTATGAAGTATGTGCGCATGTGCGGCTATTTTGTCATTTTGATGAAATAGGGGGCGCGGCTGGAACCAGGTGAATAAAATTGTTTGCCTAGAGAGAGCCTTTAATTTGATTGTATGGAGGTAAAAAGGGATTATCACTTGAGGCTGGGACGCCCACAGAGGTCAGATGACAGAAGGGGTAGAGTAAATGGCATAGGAATGTGGAAAGGATTTTACCATATGGATGTGAATGAATCAAGTCTCTGTAGGGTGTGAAATGTGAAATGTTAATGGCCATTAGCCTTGTCCCAGTATCATATGCAAAGGAAGGAAAAAACATTCATATTTACCGCCGAGAAGAATAATTAAGCCTCATTTTTGTTATATCTGGAATGTGACAAGCGCCCACTTCTAAACAAGCACAAACATGAGTGGCCTAACTTAACCACATGGGAAGGGATTGTGATGTCCGCCATATTGGGTCGCCAGTAAGACATGCAACATATGTATAGAATGGGAGAATAATAAAAAAAAAATCATAGATGCAATTATTTTTGTGGCAGGTACATAAGAGAAGATAGAGCCAAATGTTTCCATTTGGTTTGACGTTGGTCTGGAACAAAGGAGGTGGTCACTTATCTCTTTAGGTGCGCCTTAACTCCACCCCTGGGCAAGACTTGATAATCCACAGGATATATATCCAATGATTTGGAGGGGTGTTGGTGTACATGTTTGGGGCCAAAATCTAATTTTGAGTAAGTCACCATCTTCCTTGCCAGAGACCCCCTGGGCAGGAAGTGAGTAAATGTTCACGACTTCTGTTATGTTCTTCTTTTGTTTTTATCTGTTGTTGATGTAAATAATTTTGATTATCATCTATATTTTTGTATGCACTGTGACTATTTTTGCTCATAATTAATATCCATTTATTAAGTTCTGCCTTTGTCTGGTAAAAGAATCACGTTACCTGAAGAGACTAATTAGTATTTTGTATTTGCTTAGACATTGTGCTAAGTTGTATTTGGTGTGTTTTTATTATTAAGAAACTTGGGGGACCAAGGCATCCCATTTATAAATTGTCTTGGTGGTGGCAGTGTTTAAATAGTAATAGTTATATTATTTATGTTTAAGCGTGGGTGGGTTAAGGGAGATTATGTCATTATTTCCCGTCTAGTGCAGACAAATAGTGAACTTTAACCCTTTCACCACCACAACTACATCACGCACACTCTTGAATTTAGGTGATAATTCAATTTCCATCTTATAGAAACCACTGTATTTTATATGTGATATATGATCATTATAGCAAACAATTATACACTGCAGGTTGAATACTGACCCCAAAGTTGCAATGAGGTATATTTCTAGATATTTAGATTTAGTGGATAATCCCCTTTTTTAAATTTATTTATTAATTTTTAAATTTTGATAAATCTAATATATGTATAATCATGCACCTTAAGAACTAAATAGCAGGTTTATGCAGCAAAGATCTATATGGTTTATTATACCATCAGAAAAGTTGATTTCGGTGATAATCCATTTTTCGAATCTGATAGAAACCTAAGTATTAAATAAATGAATACACTTGAGAGCTGATTCCTGTATAATTAGGATATTTATACACCATGCATAATAACCAAGAGAAACCTAACATATATAACATATATAATATACAAGTTTTACATAAGAAATATAACTCATTTGGGTAGTTATCACCCTGCAGTATTGCTAGTTTTTATGTACAGTATGAGAGGATGTGTGTAGCAGCCCTAAGCAAGATATCATTAGGATAGACGAAGTGCACATGCCCCCTAAATCAGCAGAAATTAATATGGGTAGAAAAGCACACCCTCCGACCAATGGGAGAACGGAGGAGGAGGCACTTAAAAGGAAGGGCTGAACGGGCGGGAGAAACGCGTCACATATGACATGGAGAGGTGGTCCCAAGTGGTCATGTGGTTGGAACAGTGCAGAAACCCGGAAGTGACTATAAGCTGCTGCTGTTTTACATTTGATTTCTACTTGTCAAGTTGTGGGTTTATTGCGGTTATAAATAAATTGTGCTAAGATATTACTCACTTACTAAACCCAGAACCAGGGTTTTCTTTTTAGTATTTTTCAGATAATCTGCACTATATGTATATTATTTTTTTCCCAGAGTGTATACTGAGAATACTTATTTACTGCAGTTGCTAGAGTGCTTAGTTTTAGGTATTTATTCGTATTTGTGTGTCACGTAGTGTCACTTTGGGGCAATGCAGCTGTACTGCATATTCTTTATTACTCTCCAGCGCTTATACAATTTTAGTTTTTTTATTCTACCAGGAAATGCCCATAAAGCGGTGGAACGCATTACTAATTTAAGAGGTTAAGATATACCATTATTCATATACATGTATGGCAGCCATTCCGTCCGGAGTCTGTTGAATTCCATCACAGGCACACCTCAATTACTTGATTAGATACCGATTAGGAGAAAACCTGAACCAAATGTTATTTAATGAGAAAAAGTATAAAAACCACTGCACTGGTTAGCACTATACTCTTGCAATAGAACCAGTTGGGTGGCAAAAACAGAGCTTGCAGTACCTCAAAAGTAATTTGAATAAAAAAGGAACTATTGACAATATCAACAGAAAGTTTTGAGTGAGGAAAATAAGGGTTTAATTCTGGCTTCACTGGCAAAGAGATACAGTGAGCATAATGTTGCTTCCACTTTTAAAATGTCAAAGATGGCATTTCATAAGAACAACAAAGCTACAGAACAGAGGAGGAAAATGATTCTCCTTGACTGGGATGACTGCCAACTCATTTCAATGTCACTCAACAACCATAAGATGACATCAAGTTACAAACAAAAAAAAAATGGCAAATCACAGTTGGGTACAGAAATGTGAAATACTGGTATGGAACATGAACGCTGTGATAGTTCTTGAGGTTATTCTACTAAGTATTGATTTCAGAACGCTGGGAAGTTATTTTCTGCACATAAATGTTCAAAATGTCAATACTATTATTTAGAAAAAGTTAAATAAAAATGAAACTGATAATTATGTAGTGATTTCTTAATTTCTTTAAGTCTTGGTCCTGAGCAAAGGTTTTTCTACCTAAAAATGCAAAATGTCAATTTATCAATATAGATAAATTTAAAAATATACAAGATAGAGGTGAGGGTGGGAGCACATCTTTGCTGGGATATGGGATATTAATGTTTTTCACATTGATGTTTGAATGAACAGTCCAACCCCACTGAAAGGAATCACCCATTTAGAATGGTTTTGCTTCTTAA